TATTTTAAACAATGAAGAATTAAAGAGCCTGTGGATTTTTTTATTTCCCACCATCCTTTTATCTTTAAAAAATCTTCTGTAATAGATTTGGAGATTATATAACAGTAAGTTAAGCTATATTTTGTAGACTTGGCCAGACTACTAGGGCAGTAAGAATCTTCAGGCTCATACTTTGAAGAAGCTGACTAGTTGAATAGTTTGTGGAAGCAAGCTGAATAATGAAGGAATATCCTGGTTTCACTGATGCTTTCTAAGCAGCAAGACAAAAAAGGTCTTAAATGTTTGTGTTTGGTTACTCAGCAGGTAAAAGCACTTGCCATGTAACTAAGGCAACCTGACCTGAGTTTGATCCATAAAATACACATAAAGGTCAAAGGAGAGAATCGATCCCACAGAGTTCTCCTTGGACTTCTTCCACTTGTGGATTGTGGCATATAGGCCTACACATCACATATACACATTATACTAGCTTTTGAAATCATTTGCCCAGAGTCATCTGTAAGCTTCTGGTTGGTCTGCTGTAGATACATTAAAATGAGTCAAATTATAAACCTCTTATCTTTTTTTAATCAAATATTTCTTAACCATAAAAATGTGAGTCTTACAATATAAATACAGAACCTCTAACACTTAAGATTAGTTGTCTACAATAGAAATATGAGCCACGTGTGTAACTTTGCATTTTCATCCCTACCTACAGTCTCATTGTATAGTCCTGGTGGGTCTGTCTGCAAACTCACAGAGACCTACCTGCCCCTAGAGTTTGGTGATGAATGCGATGTGCCACCACACCTGGCAATAAGCTTGAATTTCCTACTAGTCATATTAGAGAAAAAATAAGAACAAGCAGGTATAATTTATGTGTTTTAATATAATATGTCCAGAACACCATTTCAACATGTGATCAGTGTAAGAAATCATGCATAAGATATATTTTACATTCTGTTTTTATATTAAATCTTTTGAAACTTGATATATACTTTATACTTAAAGCTCATCTTATGTGAAGTAGCCATATTTCAAGTACTCTATAGCCTCATGTGACATGCAGCTACTGTGTCAAACCGTCTAGGTCTGCCTCAGAGGTATCTAGCTCATCATCATGAGTATCTGTTCTCTGTTGTTCTCTGTTTAAATAAGACTCAAGGCTCAAAGGCTGGGGTAGAAACCTGCTAGCTCAGGGAGGCTGGGTTGCAATTAGCTAACCTCTGCTGCTTTCCCAAACCAGAAAAGGCTGTGGTACTCCAGAGCCCCGCTCTATTACCCCTCTCCTCCCTCCCTCCCTCCCTCCCTCCTCTCTCTCTCTCTCTCTCTCTCTCTCTCTCTCTCTCTCTCTCTCTCTCTCTCTCTCTCTCTCTCTCTCTCTCCAGGATGCACTCTAATGCTCTATGGTTACTTTCTGTCAATTAGTTGCTAATGCAGCCTCCTAACCCAAGGTTAATTTTATTTAATTAATGCAAATGCAAACTGATCGAATATCAAATATCTCCCAACACTTCCTCACATCTCACAGCCTTTCCAGAAAGAAAGCTCTGCACTGTGTTCTATCTAACCCTGACCCTCTATGTTAGTGATCCTACCATCATACTCTTACTTTGGTTCTTCCATCTTTATGCTTTTATTTCCTCTTTTATATCCCATGTATGTCTCCCTCTGCTTTCCAATTCCCTCCAATTCTTTGCTGAGATTCTCAGGAGAGAGAGTATTAACAGTTTGTCCTGTCTACACGCACGCACGCACGCACGCACAAAAGTGTGTTATGAATAGAAATGTAAATGGCTCTAAATAATACCCAAAGCATGAGGAAAGTAGGCATTCTTTTTACAGATAGTCTGTAATACTGGATGGTAGTGGAATTTGTGTTAATGGAAAAACTCATCAGGGGTGTGGAATTTATGGACTTTCTATCTGACGTTCATGAAGTGTTGAGTAAGCATTATGGGATGTATTAGTTACTTATCTTGATGCTATGCTGCAGTGACACACTCTTGAGAAAAGCAGTTTAAAGAGGGCCTAGTTTTGCTAGCAGTTGCAGGTTACAGTCCATGGTAACAGGAAGTCAGCTGGTCACATCACACCTACAGCCTGGAAGAAGGGAGGGATGAGTGAATGCTCCTGCTTGGCTTGCTTCCTCCTTTTTAGTCAGTCCAGGGCCCAAGCCCATTGAATGGTTCTGCCTATGTTCTGGGTGCTTCTTTCCACCTCACCATAAAGTACATAATTTCTCACAGGTGTGCCTAGAACCCTGTCGCCTAATTGATTGTAGATTCTGCCATGCTGACAATACTAATCATTACATGGGGTTTTGCTACCACTAACACTATGTTTTTAGTTTCAGGACCCAGAGTGCTCAATAATTGAAGAGTTAAGTATACAAATTCAGTTTTACTTGCCAGGTTATAACAAAGAATTTTAGTCAGTTTTTCTTGCCAAACTATCCTGTGTTTTTCTTGATAATCAGTTCATAGGAGTTCTATTTTCAAAGCTATTTTATAGTCTGTATTTTACTTCTCACAATGCCTTATTTAACCTTAATTTGTAAATGTACAAATACATTGTGCTTTGTTTTGTTAGGCTTTTGCAAACTAAATAAAAATGTCAATGCCAGCAATCATAAAATGAAATGAAGAAAGCAATTACATTACAATAGCATCAAAAAGCAAATATTTAGGACTAAGTTTAACCAAAAAAAAAGTATAAATTGGTACTCTAAAATTCAAAATGGGGCCATTGAGATGGCTCTTTGAATGAAGGTACCTGCAGCAGATCATATGACCCGAATTTATCCCCGGGTCCTATGTGGTGTCATCTGATCCCTCTTCAAGAGCTTACACTTGTATGTACATGTTCACACAAAATAAGTATGCAATACATTCAAAACATACCCCACATTCATCTGTTGGAGAACAATATTAAGATGATGTTCCATGTTGGACAACATAAGATGCCCACTTCCACAGAAATTAACACGCTGGTCCTTAAATTTGTAATGGATGCAATGGCCCCGTTAACTGAAGTGATTTTGAAGAACAAAGTTGTAGTACTCAAACTTGCTGATTTCAAAACCAAATATACAGTTCTGGCAATCACTGTGTGCCTCTGGCATAAGGCTTGGTTTCTAAATGACTGAAGCATTCTGTAGTCTGTGGCTCTGAGTTGTGTAAGTTACACTCCCTAGTATCTTCTTGTCTGCTTGTGATGACTTCTTGCTGTGGTCTGCGTGCAGAAAAGAGAGTTGTCCAGTGCCTGTGGCTTGAGGACTAAGTGCCTAAATAAATAAATAAATAAATAAATAAAGGAAAGGAAAGGAAAGGAAAGGAAAGGAAAGGAAAGGAAAGGAAAGGAAAGGAAAGGAAAGGAAAGGAAAGGAAAGGAAAGGAAAGGAAAGGAAAGGAAAGACAGGACAGGACAGGACAACGACTGCTCCCTGGTATATAGTGGAGGAGAAGGTTTGTTGTGGGATGAGGAAGAGCAAAGCCAGAGACGGCGACATCTGGAGAGGCCGGAGTGGACTTGACCCTGAGCCATCTGGGGAAAGTGAGGGTGGGGAGAGAGAGTGGGACCAGGTACAGCAGCCAGGAGTAGGCATAAAGAGAGCAGGTAACTAAAATGGTTGGATTATACAGGGAAGGGCAGCAGGGAGAAGGGAGCCCAGCCTTGGGCTAGAAAAGTTTAGGATAGGGAGCCAGCTGTGCCTGCCAGGAGGGCCTTGCAACAGGTAGAAACTGGCCAATGTTCACTTTGATGTGTTAAATAGGTACCTCAGCCGTTTGTCCCAGTTTTGAAACCTAACAGGGACCACTTGGTTCCTTGACAAACTTAGATTTCTTGTATACTCAGGAAAACTGATAGATGGCTCAGTTGCTGCAGTTGCAGGAACAGCCTTTTCTTGCTCTCTGTTTAAACACATTGGTGCATGACCTGTAAAACCTAATTTTTTTCTTTTTAATATTTGTGTACCAAGCAGTATGCCAAGCATCTACCACATCTCATTTACTTTACATGTTTGTCTCTGAGGTGGAGGTATTGTTATAATCTCCATGTTTTTAGATATAAAACAGGATTTAGTGGAGAAATTTAACTAGAGGCACAAGTATGTCTAAATTACCTTCCCTTTCCTTCCATCCCCAATAATTTGATTAAATCTATTTTGCACTTCTCCAAAGAGAGGAGATGTATCTTTGGCATTATAAATCCCTCCCAGTGCACTTTGATCATGGGTTTCTTCCTCTAAGACCTGGTGACGCCATGATGCTGTGGCTTTGCTACCACTCCCCTTTCCTGTTGCTTCCAGTGTGGACAGTTAGTAGCTTTAAAGGGTTTTTCAGTTTCCTTTTTAACAGTAGTTTCAATACTATTAATTCTTTTACAGCCTTAGGTAGCACTTATACTAGGGACCTTGAGTGTAACTGCTTGTGCTACTTATATTTGTCTTAACAAATTCCTTTGTAAGCTTTCTCCTCACTTTTTAATATACAACAAAAGGTGAACTAAAAGTTTTTCACTCTTAAAACTTTACTTTTGTTCACTTCCAGAAAACAAATTATGAGGTGGCCCTGAACAATGAGCCCCAGTGAAAACAAATGTGAATTCATCTCTCTAGCTGTTGTCTCTGTTTCCAGGGTGTGCATTTGTAACACATTGTATTCATCCATCCATCCCGTGCACATGCTAGCTAAGTGCTGTGTCACTGAGCCACGTCCACACACCCCTGAGAAGACTAGATTTTCTCACATGACAGATAATTGATAGAAACAAGGTTTATGCCTTGCTTTTCTGCTGAGATTTTCATACCTTGCCCACGTTCCACATGTCTGATTATAAAGTAGGTGGTAAACACCTGACCATTATTGTATTCACACCACTGATACAGAAATAATGCCAAAGTTAAGGACTAGGAACATGGAGATGGGAGCAGGATTGTTAGTACATGGAAGGATATTTTTATAATGCCTTGATTTTCCATCAGCAGGCACTTTACTATGTTTATTTCTCTCTAGTTATCAGGGAATATGAAGAACAGAAAAAGCATTCAGGAGCCTAGATTTGATTATTACAGCCATGAACTTCCTGATATTGACCTCAGTGAATGTGAATTCCCACATGTCATTGAAATTTATGACTTTCCTCGAGAATTTCGTACAGAAGACCTTTTGCGGATTTTCTGCAGTTACCAGTAAGTATTTGCAAATGGTTCCAAATGATGAGGTGAGAGAAAGTCATCCTAAAAATCATGTCTTTTTAAGTTTTTCAGTTATTTATTTTAGCATTGGGTTTATGTGTTGTTTGGATGTGTATCAGACTAGTCTTCAGTTCCTTGAAAGGGCCAGGTAGCCTGTATAGACATTTATAAAAACCACTGTTGGTGATGTCTTGGAGATATGTTTAGTCCATTTATATTTGTTAATTATTGATGTGTTTGAACTTATATCCAAGTATTTGTTTTTATATTTGCCTGAGTATATGTCTCCTGTCTTTTCCCTCACTTTTCTAGACTTACGGGTTGAATTTTTAAACATTTTATTTTTTCAATATAATGTTTTTGTTCTTTGATTACTCTAGAAATTATAAAAATGTATGCTTAAACTATTAGTGGTTAAAACTATTTTTTTTCCTTTGCCTCTTTCTAAATACTGTAAGGTCTTTTTAATTACATCTCCTACCTTGCACTGCAACTTACATTCTGTTGTGGCTATTTGATTCATTTTCTTTCTGAATGAGATATAGTCTTTGTCATTTTAATGGTTTTGCATAATTTTCACTCTCTTTACAATTTTTTTTTCTTACTGTACAACGTATCAGTCCTGGGTTTTATATAGGCTAGATAATTCTCTACTACTGAACCACACCCCAGTCCTTTACTCTGAAAAAGATTTGTGTTGTGTGTATATTAATAATTCTAGATTGGCAGTTATTTTTCTCTCAGAAGCTTTCTCTTTGGGTGATAGGTTAGCTGACAGTCCCCATGCCACTTCTGAATGTAATCTTTCCTCTCTGGATGCTCTTAAAATTTTCTCTTTGACTTTGGTATTGATCATTTTCACTGTGATGTGGATTTTATTGGGATCTTTGTTTCAAATTTACCCAGATTGAAATTATGAGGGCTTATTAAATCAGTAGTTAATATTTTCACTGATTTTGGAAAGATCTTAGACATTGTCTCTTCAGTGTTGCCTCAGACCCAGTCTCTCTTCACTCTGGCCAAGACACAAATTGGGTGTGTATTAGATTTTCTTATTTAATCTTCTTGTTACCTCTCTTTTGTATATTCCATCTCTTTTTTCCCTGAATAATTTCTTCAGTTTTAGGACTCTAGTTTAATTTATCTGTTCCAAGCTATGCTACGTTGTTAAAATACAATCGATACCTTGAATTTAAAAAACAATTTAAAGACTGCCTGGTTATTTTTTACAGCTTTTTTTTTTTTTTCCCTGCTCCATATAGCTTCAGTTTTCAGTATTTTTTTTTTCCTATTTCTTTAAGTACATTGAGCATAGCCTTCTGTATCCCTTCTGTTATCTGAAGCCCCTGTAGTTGTAGCTTGCTCCTGGGTAACTTTTGTTCATGTTCATACTTGCTCACAGTGTCTTCCCTTTTGGGGGATTTAGTTATATTTTTAATGTGAATAGGTGTTTTTTTTTTTTTTTTGGCATTGTATTTATGAGCTTTAAGGCTAATGAAAAAAAGAGGGAACTTCTCGTACCAAAAACGCTAACCATTTAAGAGTCTTCAGATTAAATTGTTGATTTGAGGTTTTTCTGACTCACTCTCAGAAAAAGTCAAACGGAGTGTGATTTTTTTTTAATTGTTACATGTCACAATGTTTTATTTTGATATGAATGTCTGTTTACTTAATGTGCTATCTAGTTGTGCCTCCCTTTTTATTTACTGGTGTGTTGGTTACACGGTTCCTAATATATAGATTCAATCTGAAAAGAGAGAGACAAGAAAGTTGATCATATCTTCAGAGTTTTCTGAGTGAATAGTTCCATGGGCTGTTTTTTAGTTTTTGTTTTTAGAGGAACTTTTCTTAGTCTTTCAAATCATTCAACTAACTTTTTTGCTGGTGTGTTTATGTTTGTTTGTTCACTTGTTTTGTTTTGACAGTGTTGCCATTTAATCCTAGATGGCCTCTTTCTCTTCCCTCATTCACCCTCTTGATTGCTGGGATTTTAACCATAGGCTGCCATTCTTAGCTCAACTAGGTTTATAGACACAGCAGTTCTTTACACTCATAATTCATTCAGTTTTGTATTTTTAGATCTAGTGAGCAATTAAAGTATGTTACAAGTGGTCTTCAGAACGTTATGCTCTTTGTGTGGGGGTGGTACATTTTAGAAGAAGGTAAAGGAATCAGAATTACACATATTATTTCTAACTTACAATAAAAAAATAGACTCGGGAACAGAAAGATAATCCAGAAGGTTATTTTAAAACAAGATGTCCATGGTCTAGAAGAAGGTCAATATCAAGGAGTATACTTCAATATTTCAAGCCTGCTATTAAAAATGAATCAAGTCTATCTGATGCTACAAATTTAAATTTAAAATTTGATTTGTTTATATCCCCGATGCCAAGATTATAGACATGCTCTGCCAGATCCCAACTTTACATTGAATTTGTATGACTCTGTTTCAGAACATAGCTCCTAATTAGTTTCTGAACAATCGGAGGTGACTATTTCTTTCAGGTGACAGCTCTGGGCTGTCTCACTAGGACAGTGAGAGATAGGATGTAAACAAATGAGTGTGGTTGAGAAAGGAAAACTTTATTTATAAAAATGACTGGCTTTGTTTTTGTTTTAAGGTAGGATCTAGGTAGCCCAGGCTGGCCTTGAACTCCTGATCCTCAGCCTTCAGAAGTGCCTGGGTTTACCACCACATCTGGTCCATGTTTTACTGTCAAGGAAGAATTTTAAGTGCTGGAATAGATGAAATTATCTAGCAGTTATATACTTGTTTTATCAATTAAACTCCGTTGGGGGAAGACAACTGAAAGAAAGCAGGAGTGAATGGATTCTGGAAGACATTTAATCTATACCATAAACCTTACTGTAAATGTGTAGTGTAGGTAAATCATTATTAATTCAGCTTTGATAAGACCCAGTGTCAGGTGCTGTTCGGTTCCTAGTAGATCCTTAAGAGCAGTTGGTAAGACTAAATCTCAAATTTGAGCTACCTTAGATTATCATTGATAAAATTAGATTGCCATTAATAAAATAGGTGATTTTGTCCATGTTCAGAACTTCCACAGGGATTATTGGGTTTTGCTGCTATTTTTGCTTTTGAGACAGTTCCTTACTATGCAGCCTAGGCTAGCCTTGAACTCAAAAATCTTCCCATTTTAACCTCCAAAGTACTGGGTTTTAGGTATTCACCACTGTACAGGGCTTAAGGATAGCTAATTCTTTTGAGTCATTCATTTTCTTCTCTTTGCTTTGTCTCTTCCTCACCATATCTGTGAGAGCATTTTCTATGAAATCTAAAGCCATTCTCAAAAGGATTTGAAAGGACTGTGAACGCTAAGATGAGGCTTTTAGCTGTCAAGGTCTTTCCCATCTTTTCTAAACTCTACAGCAGAGACTGTTGAACTAGGTCTTCACTCCTGTGGTCATTTGATAGCACGGTCCAGCTTACGTTTCTAACTAAGCTTTCAAGTTTTCTTTGTTACTTTTTCTGTCAAGGAAATTAAGAAGGCAAAGCTATTTTATCATTTTTCTTTTATAGTGATTTATAATTTTTTAAAGGTCATGCTGCAGAAATGTAAAATAATACCTGAGTCAGATACCAGAGTCAACTTTGTTTCATCACCATCTTCATCAATATTAATATCCCTAGTGATTATTGCTATTAATAATAAAATTAATGAGCACCATTGGTCTAAAAGTTGCCTTCTGAGTGCTCATTATCATGTTCTTGGCCTGTCATAGACAATCTCATCTCTATTTTCCTCCCCAATGGCTAGCTTTCACAGTGCCTCAGGGTGTTAGGCAGGCTGCTAGGAGAGAAAAAAAATACCAAGTCTTACCCAGTTGTGAACCCTGTGAACTACAGTAATGCTTCCTGAGGTCAAATAAGCCCGTGGGTAAAATAATAATGCACATGTATTAGGGAGTGGTGGTAACCAGTAGCTGTCTGATTAGATTTGAGGCCTGCCTAACAGGAGGAATGAATGCCTGGTACTGTAAATATGACTAAGAACCCATGGCTGGAGAAGTCATAGACTCGAGGAAAGAACCCACTACTGTCATTTTGATAAATTGATATAGTGTCCACACACTTTCTAAATACTTGGGAGTTGGGGGTGAGAGTGGATTTGATCAAAATAAAATATATTCATGTATTAAAGGAATTTTGAATATATATTTAATTATGTATATAAATATTTAAATTTGTATATTTAACTGTATGTTTATATATAGGTGCTTTGTAATCCTGATACTCTTTGTGCTCAGTATGTAGCTCTATTCTAAACTAAAAGGGTATTTTTCCCTAGTATTAAATGTTCATTGTTTCATTCTTTTTTGAATTTTTCTGGCATGCTATGGTTATTCCTATCTCCCACCCCTACTCACAAACCTTATTTCCTTCTACAACAAGAAAGAGTAGTAAGCATTTATGAGTATGGTTGTATTTTTCATTATTTGACTTATTTTTACAATTTGAATTGTATCTTCTAGCAATGTAGTCCACACCCCAGCAGAGTTTACATTGGCATCAAATCCAGGTGACCCTCTCTGACTTCTGTATTCTTGTATACCTCCTCTGGCCTCCTTTTTCATCCCTTCTCATTTCTTCTCATAAGGACATATCTTGAAAATAGTGCATTAAATACTTAACATCTCCAGAAGATTTGTGAGGATTAATTAGTTAGCATCTATAAAATGCTCCAGGTAATTCTTTATGATGGTATTGCTGCTTTTAAAGTTTAGTGGCTTCTATGTGCCAAACTGTTTTATGTCACTAACCCCATTCCTCTATCTTATGAAATGCTTTGTAAAACCATTTTAAAGACATTTCATAAAACAAAATTTTAAGAAATGTAAAAATTGTTTTCTTTTGTTACAGAAAGAAAGGATTTGATATTAAATGGGTAGATGACACACATGCCCTAGGAGTATTCTCCAGTCCAATCACAGGTATCTGTCAGGAATTTCAGGTCCCTCTTACTTTTTATTTTCTCCTGCTTCTTGTTCTTATTTCCCTTCTATTCCAGCCAATTAGAACTTTGCTCAGCCAGTATCTGTAGTTGAATAAATCCTGGTTTTTGAGACTGCTTCTTTTTAATCCAACATTTGGTATTTGGAAAGGTAGACACTTCCTCCCAGGCTATTTGCACACGTAAATGTCAGGCATGGTAAAGATCACAGTGAGACTAAATTTTACAGTATTTTTTTCCTTCAGACAAATGAATTTGAAATATTATATCCATAAAGATTACTGTAGTGGCTACTCTCTGAATGTTTGGTTGGTCTTTGCTCATGATTGAGCTTACGCAGAGGAATCCACAGCAATCAGAGGTGCTGGCTTGCTAGTTCCTGTCTGAACTATCTCTAGACCATGGATTTTCATGGGCCAGATAGATAAAATATTTTTTGCTTTATAGAGCCAAAATCTTCTATCGTTACCTAACCTAGCCTTGTAGCAAGAAAGGCAAAAAAGCTTCTGTCCTCACCTAACCTGGTTATCATCAAGAGAAGAGCTTCAGTGTGCAAATGGACATGGCTCTGTTTCATATGGTTTTATTTACAAAAATAGAAAATCCATTGGCTGGATTTAGTCTAATCTCTGTTCTAAAGTGATCATCGCCCAGCTTATTGTTTACAGATGTTCTGTATTGTATGATCTCTTTTTTTCTTGCCATGAAAACCAACAAACATAAATTCTAAGAATAAATGTTTTATAAGAAATCACCCTAAATTTTCTTGTGTGTCACTTTACTTCCTTATGTCTCTTCTTCCTTGCAGCTCGTGATGCTCTGGGTATTAAGCATACCATGGTGAAGATACGGCCCTTGTCACAGGCCACAAGAGCAGCCAAGGCCAAAGCCAGAGCTTGTGCTGGTGAGCCCACAGCCTCTGTCTTTGTTCCTTACTGATGGTGAAGTCACTGTTCATTCCAGCAGTTTCACACCACCCGGAACTCAATAGACACCATCTTCTTTAGGTTACTACTGCTGCTGCTGCTGTGTTTTTAAGGACAAAAAGAGAAAAAGACCATGTTGGAAATATGCCCTTTGAGCAGCCGCTTGAAGTGTGGGAGAGACTAAGGCCGAGCAGTATAGTAACCAGATTCCGATGACATTTCAGTTGTTTGATATAGTTGCTGTAAGAAATTGTGCTAATGCAGATGATGCAGCCAGGGCTGTTTGTGCTGTGCCATACTAATTTCCTCGAATCATCGTCTATCAGGGTTGTATTAATTACTGCTGATGCCGCCCTTGTTAGTCTGTTTTGTATGTTAATTACTGAGTTAAATCACTTGGAGCTGTAGTGGTTTCTCTTCCTTACTGCCTGTCACTCCTTTTTTCCCAGAGTTTCTCCAGCCTGCAAAGGAGCGACCTGAGACTTCAGCAGCCTTAGCCAGAAGGTTAGTTATCAGTGCCCTTGGGGTTCGAAGCAAACAGAACAAAACTGAACGGGAAGCAGAGCTCAAGAAACTGCAAGAAGCCCGAGGTGAGTTGATGGTTGTGTTCTCTGGTCCACAAGGAGCTCAGTAGGAGGCATATGCTGAAAAAGAAGAGGGAAAAGAATGAAGTCCATTCCATCTTGTCATTTCCATTTTCAAGAAGCCTCTCAAGTGTATAGAAGTTGTTTTCAATCCTTACATCCAAGCCTTACATTCAGGATTTGTCTCCTGTTCATACACCAAGACATCTAATTAATTTACTGTTACTAAGAGATAGGCCCCGCCTTCTCAGCTCATTCCTGACTTTTCTACAGCTTGCTCCAAACGGAGAGAAAATTTTCCTCTGAAGACTTCACAGTCTCTCAGATCTTGTTTGTTGTGCTTTTACTGAGCCATGACAGTACCATGGTGTAATCAGATGGCTTAGGTCTTTGGTAAACGGCAAGTTAAGGAAGAGCCAGAAGCTGATATTGGTGATAATGACCCTAAGAGAGATTTTTGTTTTCTTAAGACAGTCTGGAGTAGATTCACCTGTCTTCTAATTTCTTTCTAACACCTAAGAGTTCAGAAAATATTTGCACAGATCTACAAGCAGAGTTTTCATTAGAGTTTGGAGTCAAGTTTAAAATATATCCTCTTTACAGTTCTTTGTAAAGACTTGGCCCTGGTCTTGACACAGAAGTATTTTTTTAATCAACCTTCAAGCTTTGGACAGGCTCCTTGCCTTTATTCAGTATCTGTAGAATCGCTGAAGACAATTCTGAAAACTCCATTTACCGAAAAGTGACTTCATTTCCCTTAAACCAGTTGAAGTTTCAAACTCCTTGTTTATTGCCAGTCTAACAAGGCCATTAATACTGCCTGTCCACTATGCTTTGGTGATAGCAGGCAGCTTTCAGACTCTCAGCTGCACTGGCCAGATAACCCGTGAGTGAGAGCATCGTGGCAGGTGTTAGAGTTTTAGAACTGAACCCAACTAATTTACCTTAATGATTAAAATGAGGCAATTTTGTTTTTGTTTTGTTTTCTAATACACTGTTCATTAAAAGGTTTCTTAGAAAGGGGAAAGGATTGCTTTTGTTTTTACAGATGGTAAATAACAGAACTGGATTAGAGTAGAATATGCAGTATCCTTAATCCATTGTTAATTGGTTATCTCTGAAGAAAATGACTCTTGGGTGGTGACTACAGTTATCTCAGAGGGTGAATAAAAGGGCTTGGGAATGTAGCCCGGTTGTAAAGCATTTGCTTAGCATGCTCCAAGGTTCAGAACTGAACAAAAGCAAGCCACAAAAGGATGAGTAGAGGGTAATGACAGTGGTATCTAATGAAGGTAGGACTCTGCTGCATATGCCATGCCTTTCCTGTAAATGTAATATCACCTGCCTGTCCTCTAGTTGGCGGCAGGCACGTCCTCATGTGTTTCTCTTGCAGTGTTTGTTTTAAGTGCTTTGCTGTCTAAGGGGACGTTTCTGTCTTGCAATTTAAAATGAGACTATTGGTCGAGTGAGCACCCTATTGCTTTTATTTGTTTTTGAAACACAGTTTCACTCTGTAGTCCTTGATGGCTTAGAACTTACTGTGTAGCCTAGGCTGCTTTTGAACTTACATCAGTCCTACCTTAATTCTGGAGTGCTGGGATTATAGACTGAGCTGCCATGCCAGCTCTTCTATGTTGCTTTTTTTTTTTAAATGAAGAACATTTCCTTGTTATTTATTAATCTGAAATGGTGTTCTCACGGTTGCCTGTGCTGATCTTAAATTTGTCATCATCCTGCCTGGCTTCTCAGCTTCTCTGGTAACTGGAATGCCAAAAGGCTTTGGGTTGTAATTAGAGACCAGGGGTAGGTTCTGTCTGTTAATGTGTGGATTACAGAAGACCCTGGCATCATTCTATATCCGGGCTCTTCTATTCTCTGTGTCTGAGAAAATGCAGATGGGAATTTCTCTTTCTGGCATCTTTTGTATTCAGCATTCTCCAGGAGTTGAGTGGAGTCCAGGTGTCTCACCTTAAGTCTCCTTAAGACTTAGAGTCCAGTGGGACTATTTGCATTAAGTAAAGCACAAAACAGGGATTACGTTTCGATATTTTAAGCAATCTTTTTTTTTTCCTTTCCATACCTTTGCTCTCCCACAGTGCTCTCTCTCCTCTTTCTCTCTGTGTAGTCTTGGGATTGGATGCAGGGTCAGTACAAGCCAAGCACTCTGTCACTGAGCTAGCTGTAGCCTCTCCTCTCATTTTATTTCTGAAAATTTTTAGTATAAGAAATGGATACGAAGGTTTTGTTGATGAAAGGGACTGGAAGGAGACTCATAGTAGTCATTTTGATGGTATTGTCTTGATAATTCTGATGCAAGATACTGTCTCCAGTTTAGAGCTGTCTCCAAGAAGTTAAATCAGTTCTAGGTTACCCACCTAGGAAAATGAGAGGAGGGATTTGAATGTAGGCTTCTTTAATTAAAACTCATACTTTTTTTTTCCTACTCTTTTGAAGGATTTTAGAGACAACTGGCATTTTCTCAAGAAAAAAATATTACCTTTATAAATAAAATTTTTAAGTCCCCAGAGAATGTGCTGTAATAGTTATAGATACCAAAGGTTAACTAACAGCTTTGACAGAAAATTTTTCTTTAGTATGACTTAAATCTGTGTGGCAGTTTAACCTTTTTTCTTATTAGTTATCTAGGATGTCTGGATGTCATTCTGTACTAGCACCCCTTTACTATACAGACAAGGGCTGATCACTAAGGAAATAAAGAAGTCTGGGCTGTATCAGAGCTGTTGTCATGTAACTAGCTGTGCAGCTTTGGGCAGGTCAGTTATCACTCTTTGTCTACTTTCCAGCTAAGTAGAAGTAATGCTTGCCCTGCCAAACAAACCACGGAGAAGTTTTTGAGCACACATAATGTGTAAAAATGTTGAGAAAGTACTTTACAAATTCAAGATACTGTTCTGTTTTCTGTGTTATATGACACGTGTCAGGTGTGTGTGTGTGTGTGTGTGTGTGTGTGTGTGTGTGTGTGTGTATGTGTGTGTGTACTGCTGCTCTCCCATTACACATAACAGATGTTGCTGATCAATCATGGCATTCTCTCTTGGCAAGTACTGACATGCCCATTGCCGGTTGATCAGAATTAGCATGGACCAAAATCTATACACTATTCTTTCATAGATCCTTTCATCCTTTCATTTTATATTAATCTGACCCTTCTTTGTGTTGCGTGAAGAATTCTGTTGACTGCCATGTCATTGAGGACAAAAAAAGTTATATGGTGTGTGTTCATTATCTCTCTATATGAATGCTGTTGGTTACTGTAGTTTTTCTTCATAAGTGTTATGGGATTTTACTCTGTCTGAGCTTTCTCCACTACCACCACCCACAAAAGTGTTGAACACACCCAATCTTTTGAGTTTTTCTGGTTGTGTTTTTCTGTCCTACTTAGATTCTACTAATGTTTGAGTGGGACAGCTTATACCTCAGTCCTTTAAAGGGAGATTCACAGACTAAAGCTAGTTCTGAAAGAGTTGAGGAGAGGGAAGTGCCAGATCATTTAAAGCAAATCCTCACTGTGTGTGCCCTGAGGGTACATTGTTCTTGAGCTGGAGCAGTCTCTGTTGGTACACAACAGATGAGAGCTGTACTCAGAGTGGGAAATGGAAGCAGACATATCTGTGGGTGCTTTGGGCTTGACTTAATCAGGTGTTTTAAACCATGATTCATGCTGAATCATGAAACCACATAAGTGAAGGACTGAGCACAGGAATATCTGTAAAAATTTTCCATGCTCACTATTTCAAATATTTGATTGCTGGCTAAAATTAGAAATGTATTCATTGCTTCTCAGAATAAGCTGCTCTCTCATCTTCAAAGTCTGCTATAATTATATTTCATAATTTAATTTCATCTTACTCTTAGGAGTAATGATTAACTGGCTGGTTCTGAAAGGCCAACATTTGGTTCATAGGGCTAAAGCAGAGGAAGTAAACCATTTGATCATGTAGTTTGATTACTTAAGTCTCTACGAACTTGAAGTCATGTAGACAGTACTTGTTCTTTTGCAGTAAAACAGATTTACCCCTGGCACCTAACTCAGGGAACCCTTATGCATTCCACTATCCCACAGTGCTGCATTACTGGTCATAATCAGATTTCAGGGTATTTTCATGTCTTTTTCCTGCCCTGTTATCTGAAGTTCACTTCATTTCTAACCATATTATAATTATGTGAAATTTTTTGCACAGGTGTAATATTTACCTTTTTTGTTGTTGTTGATTCTAAATCAGAGACAAAAATGTCAACAGTAGGACTAACTGACCACGTCAAGCCTTGCTAAAATAAATAGCACATCATTCCTTGTGCTTAATACACTGCAAATAATTTCTTCAGTTAAATGGATCCTGATGAGGTCTGGATTATATTTTCCTAGTGTACTGATGTGTGTATAAATACTTGATAAACTTTATCTGAAGCCTTGCTAAAATTAAGAGGTTATGTAGACTGCTTACTTCTCCTTGATCTACTGAGTCTGTCAGGGAATAAAGGAAGGCAATTAGATTTGCCCAGGCTTGTTCCTCACAAAGCTTGCTGATTATTACCCTGTAGGTGGCTACAAGTGGGTTTTGTGATCATTTTTAAAATGTCCAAGTAAATTTTAAGTCTTTAATTTGCAGCCCTTCTCTTTCCTTCTCTTTTCTTGCCAAATAAAGCATGACCCCAGAGTGTTGCCTTTTCAGTCTTCAACACTTCCCCAGTGAGAAGCAGTAGTGGACTGCTCCCTGATTTCAATCAGCTCTCAATAGACATTTCTGCCCATTTGCTTTTCATACTGGGGATGGAAGTCTTCAGGGCCAGTCTATGTAAATGTTTCAGGTTAATCATTCACTTCTAATGTTCTTTTTCTCTCAGTTCCTTGTTCTCACAGCTGCTGTGGAATGTTTAGTCAGTTTAATTTTTTTATTTTTAATAAAGGCAATGTTAATGATAGCTTTTTCATGCAATCATCTAACATTCTTTTAAAAAGGAACATGTTTCTTTCATTTAATCTTTTCACATGCTTTTCCTTTTTGATATCTTCAGATGTCAGGTAGTATAAAGTATGCTGCTTAATAAGGACCTGGGTTCCAGCCTCAGTTCTTCCTGATCCTTTAGCCTCACCCAAGTTACTCAAGCTCTCCAATCCTGGTCCCTATCTCTGGAGCAGGGAATTGCTTACAAGTCCCATTTGACCACATTCCTCTCAATTTCATATGCTTCATGTTTTCACTATTTTTTTGTGCTTCTCCGATTTGTTTTCCTACTCTCTTTAGTGTTCCATGCTTTATCACCAGAATTTACACAAACACACATACACCAAGAGTTAGGCAGTTTTTTGTTAGCAAGCATTTAACACTAGACATATTTCAAAATTTCAACTTTACAGACTTTAGAAAGATGACACAGTAGCTATAATATGTTTTACAGTGCTGGGAGCAAACATGTTTACACTGGTATGTCTTAAGCAAAGTGTGTGTGAGTCACATTAAGTAAGCCATAGAGGGTCCAAACAGCCTTATATCTGATTAGATTTGCATCAAGCAATGAATTTTGACTGCTTTAAAATAAAAGCAAAAACTTTTTTTTAGAACTGTTTTGATTTTGGACATATTTTTCTATTGTTTATGGATAATATTTCTGATTTGTTTCCTATCTTAATGAAAATTTTGAATCCTACTAACTCATTTCTTATTTTTGTTTTGTTTTGTTTTGTTTTTCCTTAGAATTCACAACCAGTTTTTGACTAATTTCATCCAAGACTGCTTTGCATTTAAATCTTACCTGACTTGTCACTTTAAGACTCAAAACCATAATGTTTTCCCAAGAAATCTTGGCATCCTTTGGATAAGTCCATTATCCCTGGCGTTGCTCAGGAAGACCCACAGCCAACCCAAGCCTGCCTGCTTACAGTCAAGTCCTAGTAGTAATCAGCCTTCAATTCACTATTTGTTGATCCTCATTTTCTGCCTCATGTAACTTTGCTGCTATATTCAGATGATGCCACAAGATGGTGCCCAAATAGCAAGGAATTTCTCTGTCTCACATTCCCAGGTGTCAGTCAATTTCCCAACCAACTTCCTTCCCCTTAAAGTACAGTCAAGTATAATTCAGAGATTTTATAAGTGATTATGCTGATTTGAAGATAGGTTGAAATAGCAAGTGTTAATTCTAAACTCACCTTGATTTCTATAATCCACCAGTTCATGACTTGAATATTTTATGGAAGACTTAACTGATGTACATTTTCTAGTATTGAGTGACTGTCAACCATGAGGTTAGAACCAGCATCCTATACATAAGAAACTATTTTTATGTTATGATTCATAACAGTAGCAAAATTACAGTTACCAAGTGGCATTGAAAATGATGTTGTGGTTGGGGGTCACCACAACTGTATTAAAGAGTTGCAGCACTAGGAAGGTTGAGAACCACTGCTCTAGAACATTTCTCATTCCTAAAGTGATCTGCAAAATACTGCCACAAGTTTGCCTCTGAATTGTTTCTCATTAAACTTACAGTGGGGAAATAGTGAAACCCATGGGATGCTGCTGCCATTTGAGCAGTTTGGAAGAATAAAATATATTGGTGAAAAAAAAAAAAAACATATTGGTATCTCAGTGGTTAAGAGCACCAACTATTCTTCCGGGAACCTGGGTCAGATCCCCAGTACCCAGCTCTTCCAGAGGACATGGGTTCAATTCTTAGCACCACATTATGGCTCAGAACCATTTGTATCTCTAGTTTCAGGGAATCCAACATTCTTTTCTGGCCTCCAAAGGCACTAGGCATGCAGATGGTACATAGACACACAAGCAGACACTTACACACACAAAAATAAATAAAACATTCTGAACCTGCTGAAATGCTAAAAAAAAAAAAAAAAAAAGTTCCATATACAAGGAATTATTGGCAGTTATTTGAAAGCACCAAATGTATGTACCTGAAAAGTAGACCTAAGCACCTACTAACAAGTTTAGCAACTGAGACTTGCTGGGTTCTGACTTGTCAGTAGAGCTTTATTTATTTTTTCCAAATCTTTACTTATTGTTTAGAAACCATACAGTGGGGTCTGGGAAAATGGCTCATTGTGTAGAGGTACTTACTGGCTCATTGTGTTAAGACACTTGTCACTCAGCCTAATGGCCTGAGTTTAATCTTCAAGGGCCCTCCTTGCAGTAGAGAACTAACTCCCACAAGTTGTCCTCTTGCCTCCACATGTCATTATGACATGCACACAAATGAACACACATACTGTAAAATGCTTATGGATGGGGAAGGGCCAGCTTACAGTGGATATCCTAGTCTGGCTAAACCAAACCAAAACCAACGTGGAGGAGAAAGGATTTATTTCATTCTGTAACTCCCAGATCAAAATTTATCACTGAAGGAAGTCTGGGTAGGAACTCAGGGCAAAGCACTTGGGCGGGAACTGGAGTAGATGCTGTGGAGGAATGCTGTTAACTGATTGGCTCCTCGTGGCTTGATCAGGGATGGCACTACCTACAGTAGTCTGAGCCCTTATATCAGTCACTAATCTCAGAATGCACCATAGACTTGACTACAGGGCAGTGTGATGAGTCATTTTCTCAGTTGACGGGTCTGTCCCTCTTTCCCAGACGACCTAAGCTTGTGTCAGATTCACAAGAACTAAGCAGAGCAGTTAACCCGGGGCTGAAGCTTAGTGCTGCAGTGTGTGTTTAACATGTGTGGAGCCCCAAGTTTTATCTTCAGTATGACAAAAAGAAGAAGAAAAAGAAAGAAATGGGGAAAGGAGTAGAGAGGGAGAAAAACAAAAGAATAAAAATGTCTTAGAGTAGTATAAATTCTATAAATCACTTGTAAAGTTAAGGTTATTAACCTCTGGACTCAGGTGCGCTGATCAGGAATCTACCTGTCTCATGAATAAAGTTTGTCTTGTAATTTGATTAAAGGAGACTCACTGGCTGTGTGAAATATATGATGATATGCTTAACATTGACCTTTATTTACAGAGAGAAAACGGTTGGAAGCCAAGCAACGGGAAGACATCTGGGAAGGCAGAAGCCAATCTGCAGTTTGAACAGCACTTACTGAAAAGGTGACTCCATGGATTAGGAAGTGTTTTCATGTTCTTGAGACAAGAGGGCCCTTCCAGAGCTGTGTACATGCAGATGAGCATGTTAAAGAAAACGTGAACAAGACAAAGGACTGGAGGGTTTAGTGAGAACAAGGTGTCCTCTCCTCACTCCTACATCCGGGACTGCCCTCCGGTGGCAGATGTCAAAAGTCACCATCAAGTGAGAAGAGAAAGGGACGGAGTGACTTCTAAGAGTTCTCTGGGTAGAAGAGGCCACGTTAGTGTGGCTCACACTTCCAGGAAGTCCAGAGCAAGTGCAAAGCAGAACAGAGGATTCAGGCCTGCAGTGGTAGGAGTCAGAGGCCCACGTGGCCGGCATTCCTTAGTAGTTCACACATTGAGAACAGCACGGGGGTGGTGGGAAGCATCACAGAGACAGAAGTGCCTGATGTTCTTGGCAGATAGCGTCTACACTGCTGGCTCCAGAGCTCTAAAGCCAGGGAAGCGTGGCACATGTCGGTATTTGGACTCCTGAGTTTGTACTAAGCTTGGTGCCTGGCACTGTGCCAGCTGCACAGCAGCCAGGGGTCTTCCTCCCTCCCTCTCAGTAAGCCAGTCCTAGGGAGCTTAGTGCCAGCTCCAGTTTAAGCAGTAATATGTTGTGAGAGGGAGAGATTAAAGGCTATTTTATAGTATAAATCATTCTGGTGTTTGTAAGTTTTGCCCCCCACCCCCACTCCCACTCCCACCCTACCCACTCCTGCCCCAAACCCAACAACAACAACAAAGACGAAAGAAAGAGTACATGTGCTCTCTAATCTTCATGGCTCTGATGCCATGAGTGGTTTAAACAGGTGCTGCTTCACCAACCCCAGGAATAGAGCACTCCCCATCTTTTCTGCCCCAGAATATACCCCCTAGTGGCCATCCTGGCGTTTCTGTGTGGCAGCCTCTCTGGCCTTGACCTCTTTTTGCAACCTTCCTCTGACCCCTTCTCTTTTTCCATAGCTGTCAACTCTGACACCCTGCAGGGGCATCTGGCACCCAGCATGTTCTTGGTACAGTCTTAGTCTGTGCCAGAGGCACTTGGCAAGCAGCACCAGACCATCCAGTACAGTGATGAGCTGCCAGGATGAAATAAACACCACTAGGCAGTGTGCAGTACCCAAAACGACATGGACAGGTCAGAGCCACCAGCACGGCCTTTTCTGTCTCACAGCTGCCTTCGTAGTTGTGGAAAGCAGTTCTGTGCTGAAGAAGTGGCAGTGCTAGTCTCTAAGTGCTGAGGAGGCAGGAAGTGGAGTCACACTGTGCTGCCATCTAGGGCAGAAGCCTCTTTTCATGCCCATGACAATGATGGATTATTAGCTTTGTCTAGAACATGGTAGAATGGGGCTCTTCATACAGTCCTTAAATGATACTGGCCTTGGGTCTGAGTCTTGGCCTGTCTCTGTTGCTACTCCAGTCTTGGAACCCTGTCACAGTTCTTTAGCATTGTCTCTCGTTCCAGGTTTCCCAGTGACCCTATCCAGTGTATACCACCATTCCATATGTGGGAAAATACATTGTTTTCTTGATCCTCTATTTCTACTCAAGTCTTTGGCTTGTACCTGTAGAGTTTATGCTCTGTCTTCATAGAACAGACTTCTCAAATATCTGTAGGCCTGTTTGAACAGTGGGTACAATGAAAGAAAATACCAAGAATTCTAACATTGGCTTTTATTATTATTATTATTAGCTATTTATAATCATAATTTTATTTGTATCAGTGTTTTGCCTGCATGTCTGTCAATGCCCGGTAACTGTGGAGGCTAGGAAAGTGTGTCAGATCTTCTGGAACTGGAATTAGAGGTGGTCATGAGCCACCGTTTGGAAGCCTGGCATCATACTTGGGTCTTCTGGAAGAGCCGGACTCTTAGCTGCTGAGCCATTACCCCAGCCCCAGCACTGCTTTCTACTGGTGTATTTCTAAGGCACATACTTGCCGTGTTTTGGCACCCCACCCCTTGTTAGACAGCAGACTACAGCCACACATGTGCTGGACAGCACTCTACCTCTGAGCTCTACTCCCAGGCTAGTTGACAAACAAAATGACTTCTCTTGTCACTTGTCTGTGAAAGTACTACTTGTTAACTGGTTAATGTACTGTAAAGGCATTGTTAACAATAATGTACAGCCCCATGTCTATTACCCAGTTTTTAAGTAAGTCTCATCATTTCCAAAACAATTTCTCATTAAGTGTTCTAGCAAACTATCTTCCATCTGATGATCAGCTACTTTTAACTCTCAGGGTAATTCTTATAATCTCAGAGAATAAATTTTTTTAAGTGGACATTTGAAAGTTGTGGACATCGCTGTTTTACTTCTAGTTGAAAATGTGCTTTGTGCTTACATTAGCCCAGTAGTTGGGGTTGCTGTGTATTGGGCAGTGGTAAGAAATCCCAGCCATGGCCCAGCACAGACTGCCCTGAGCTCGTCCATGGGGGATCAAAGCCTTGCTTATGTCTAAGCTGACCTTTCATTACCAGACGAGTGAACAGTGTGTGGCTGCCTCCATCTCAAGGACCAGACCGATCTAAAATTAGGAGAGCTGCTTGAATGGCGTGACTGCTCTAGAAGTAATGTTAGCTGTTGGGGGTGGCATCTGATGTTCTCTGCTGCACACAGATGCTTTGTGTGTGGTGAACATCTAAATCTCAGGGTTATGTAAAATTTATAGTAGAAAGTTACAATGCCTATGGATTTTAATTTTTTTCTGCATAGCATGAAGGCCTTTGTAGCATTAGGAGGTTAGTTTCTGAGGAGGGAGGTCCTAGCACTTCAGTTTCCCTGAGGCCACACAAGGCCAAGGTGAACATCTGAGGTTTGGGTTCTGTCTGGAATTTGGTGGTTGGTATTCTGTTAACATTCCTCATCTAGTTCTAAGTCATGCCGTGCCTTTCTCTTTCAACTCAGAAGCTTAACAGCACAGCCCTTGTATAACTTTTTCCAGGAATTAGAGCTGGCTGCTCCTACCAGCTGTGTGATGTGGACAGAGGGGCTGAGACCTGTGCTGCTGGTTACTGTCCACCTGACCTGCTTTTTCTGGCCTCTTGGAAACTAGATCTAACAAGAAGCTGAGGGGTAGCTCCCTGCCCAGGTCTAGTCATCAGTCACCACTCCCAACCCAGCCCCCTAGTAGCTGCACATTCTTTCACAGACCATTAGCTTCGGGTGTGAGTATAATGTTGTCACTGTTTGCTGGATCCAACAGGAAATCAGTCCTTCCCTTGTTTACCTAAACTACTACACCAAAATAGGCTTCCCCTGCCAAATGGGGGAGATGAGGGAATGGAGGGAATGGAAAAGGGCACTTTGTGTTCACAGAAGACACCCCCAGAACACGTTCCTTCTCACTATTGGGGTAGCTTGTGTGTTGTGGGGAAGAGAATACTGTAAATCCTCTCTCTCTGCTACCATTCATTTGGTTTTGTTGCCTCTATTATAAAAGTTTACGCTCTCTGGATTGTGCCTTCTTACTCCTCCCCATGGCTTCACAACCTTTCTGACCCTAGTTTCAGCGTTGAGCCTCGGGAGGGTAATTGGGAAGCAGGTTGTATCTGACTGGAGAAGCACACTGGGGTGGGCTGTCCCAAGGAATGTGTTGCGTGCATTCTTGTCAAGACGGCTGAGTTCAGGGCACTGGAAGCTACGGGAGCACAGCTGGTCTGGTCTGGTCTTTGTAGCAGTCCACAATGAGCAAACTTTATTGGCATTATGAAGACCCAGAAGGGTCATCTGTGGGCATGTCAGTGGAGAAACAACCAGGCATGCCCAAGAAGACCCTGGGGTCTTACACCACCTGAGCAAGAATGGAGCACACCTCACACGTGGGCAGCGGCCTTTCCCAGGCTCAGTCCTTGACTCAATTAAGTGTTCTCACTTCTGGTTTCCCCAGTCTTCTTTTCCTAACGCTACCAGACCTGTCTTGTGTTCCTGCAGAGTGGCTTGATTGGCCAGTTTCTTGCCTTGGTTCAGTCTGAAACTTAGGCTAACCCTGACATGGGGGTGCTCCTAACAGAGACTGGACGGCTAACCCTGACATGAGGGTGCTCCTAACAGAGACTGAACTGCCTGCTGAATGTGGGATGTACTGTTGTCTCCTTTGGCAGAGGTCCTGACAGACTGAGTTTATGTGACCTCGGCTGTCTTCTTGATCTCTCGCTGCTCTGTGGGAAACGCCCTGTCTTGCCACTTCTGTGAAACTTGCCTCCCGCCCCAGCCCCAGGAATTGGGGATGTTGATCCATCAGGAAATGGAGGGAGGCCTGAGGGTCCAGGGTATTAGAAACACCCCTGTGTGACACAGTGAAGGAGAGGCTAAGTGGGGATAAGGTAAGGGACTGCATTCACCAACTTGTCTGCCAGGTGTGACTTTGACACACTTGTTTTTGCACAGAGCTCGTGACAGAAAACTGACTCCACTTCTAATGTTCTTTGGTCTTCTGTCTTCTGTTCCTCCAAGACATTTACAAAGCACCACTTAGATGGAGGTCTTGGCCACAGTTCGTCCCTAAGGAACTTAGAGCTCCTGAAACTGGGAACTGTACATGAAGTTTTAAGACAGATTGAGTCTCCTTAAGGAAAAGAAGGCTTAGCTGGCCAGAGCTTCAAGGCCATAGGTGCTTGGAAGAGGCCCAGAGCCATCCTGAGACTGCTGCCATCCGGGGTGGTGATCTGGCCATCAAAAGGCTTCCTGAGCAGGTTCTTGGTGCTCCTTGTCACTGGCCCCTTGTCCTGTGAGTTGGGGCTCTGTGAAGGGCATGGCTCCAGTAAGCTGAGGTATCTGGTGTGTGAGCAGAGCTGGGAGTGTGCAGTAATGGCTTTAGATCAGGTTGTTCCTGAGCCGCTGTTCCTGCTCCAGAGAGAGCTCCGCATTGGGTCTGTAGGAGTCTCCTGTGGGCCAAAGGAAAATAGCTAAGTAGCCAAACCCACCTCAGCCCCTTTCCATCAGGGCAGTCCTGGGCACAGACACAGTCAGTCTGTTGAGTGGAAAGAAAAGGTTATGCTCGTTCTTTGCTCCCTCTCTAGGTTCATTCTGTGCCTGGGGACTGGCCACCCTACTCGCCTTGTACCCTGGTTTCTACCTGGTAACTCAACAGCAACAGGAGGTTGGGAGTGGAAGGAGCGGCCAGTCATCTCCCCTGCCGTGGCTCTGCAGGAACTATCAGTTCCTCCCCTGCCGTGGCTCTGCAGGAACTATCAGTGACTGCAGCTCCGACCAGCTTCACCCTCCTCCATGGTGTTAGCTGTCACCTGGCACCCAGATGCCCTTTCCTTTATCACTGGGCTCAGTGTCACTCATTTCTTAGACCTCTTGGGTATTTTTGTCAGTTAACTTCAGGCGCATCGCAGTGAGCCCTCACATTTGTGTAAGGACTCTGGTGGTTTCTACCTTCCAGCCTTGTTTTTCTGTTCTTCATCACTGCCCTGGGTCCCTAGCAGCCTCAATATGGAGGTACTGTTGTCTCCATGAACACAGTCCCAGTGCCTCTCACATTCTTGTTCAGAGTCTGCAGTCCACTTAGCTACCCAGATATGAAGCTTTGATGCTCCTTCTCATTCTCCCCCATGTGTTGGCAGGGTAACTTTTAAAACAAATGAGGCCGGGGATGTAACTCAGTGATGGGGTGCCCGCCTAGCCCATGGAAGGCCTGCCTAGTACCATGGAAGAAATATAAATTAAAAAATGTTTTCAGTACCATGGAAGAAATTTAAAAACAAACTTTGTTCCTACATCCTACTATCTGGCACTGACAGAAAGGCCAGCTCTGCCCCACACCTCAATACATACACACCCTGAGCGCCCTGGGATGGAGGGGTTCTATACAAAAGGTAGCTGCCTCCTTCCTCCACCCTTCTGATACTATAGTCCCCTGCCGTGCTCATGGCTGAAGGGAACAGTGGACCACGGGGAACTTTTCCCTGAGAAGGCTGTTCAGGAAACTACAGGAAAGGGTGGACCAGAGAAGCATTTTTGTTTGTTTTCTGTTTGTTGAGACAAGATTTTTCTATGTAGCTCTGACTGTCTAGAACTCACTATGTAGACCAGGCTGGCCTCAAACTCAGTGATCTCCTGCCTCTGCCTCCCGAGTGCTGGGATTAAAGGATTACGCTACTACCCCAGCCAGGAAAAGAAAATCTTAATGTGCCTGAGAGGATAGGAAAAATTCTGAGAGACTGGAAATTAATTTTACAGTTAGTCATCCATAAAGAAGTGTAGCTGCTAGGTGGTGAGGCTGACGGTCTGATCAATGTCATCCCATCCGTAGCATCCGCACATAACCCACAAGTCACACCCAGGTGTCCTAGATAAGGCTGTCATCACCATGACTGAGTTACCTGTATGGCAGTTGTGCAGCCAGACTCGCTGCCCGTCATACTTGCAGCGGCAGCGCAACATGTTGTTGGAGAAATCTGACTCTGCCACGTCATTTGTGGGGTTCACAACCACCTGCAGTGAAGGGGACAACAGAGTGGGTGATGTGGTCTCTTGAGTGAGTCCACATGTAGGGTCCTTTCCACCTTGCCGAGTGCTTTGCAAAGAGGTCTTTCTATGCGCTGATTGGCTGATCCTTAGTCACCCCAGGAAGTTCACATCAGTATGCCTCTTCACAGATGAGGACTAGGAATTGCCCAGTGTCCACTGAATAGGGACTCTGGCCCAGAGCTTTGGGATCTCGGGGTTGAGGGCTCTTCCCCTACATTGGCGCTCCAAAAAGGGAAACCACCTTCCTCTGAGCCCTGAGCATCTGTAAATGCTGGAAATTGTCCTTACCTGGAAGATATAATCCCCGGGACCCACGTCTGTGATATCCACCCACTGGCAATCGATGTCATGCCGGTAGGTGTCCCAGCAGCCTACAGACACCCCCTGTTCCCCAAAGTTGGCACACGCATAACGCCGCTGCACTCCTGTAAGGGAGAGTATGCAATTACCATGGTATCAAGAAAGCACATGTGACCAGGCACTATGTGGTCTTTCATAGGCTTCAGCAAGCTAGTCTTCAAACTGGCTTTACCAGCTCTGGACTTCTGCCCAGTACATGAGTTTGGGGCCTATGGTTCAGTTAAATGACTTACCTGAGTATAGAATTCATGCTAACTGAATTTGTCATAGGCCACCTACATCCATGACAAGGACAGTGCTATTTTGGATGCACTAATAAAAAATCCCCGTTGGACTGAGAAGTATGGGTGGGATTCTAGCCCTCTGGTACTGACTTTGTCCACCAGCCCTTAGAAGACCTAGTGTTCACCCGCTTACATTACTAAGGGCTCAGACTGAGGTACAAGTAGGAAACACATCCCTGCCCTCCAAGAGCTACTGGACATGTTAAGCCTCTTTAAGGTGGTATGGAGTGCTGGAAATTGAGAGGAAATTACTTTCCACCGAAAGGCAGAATTGCCTTGAGTGCTATCGCCAAGTTAGACTCTTCAGGAGCCTGGGGCTGTTGAATGGGAGAGAAGAGCTTGACCCCAAAGGTACTTGAGAGATCCGTTAAGAGTGCCCCAGGAGGCTACGTGAATAAGAGCCCACCAACCTGTAGGGCAGTTTGTGTCTTCTAGACAGAAGCTGGCCTTGTGCCCCTCAGCCACTTTGGAGCCATTGAGCGTGAGCAAGTCATAATGGGTGAAGACTTCGATGCTGTGGTAGTGCCTAAGGAAGAAGCAGAGCTGTCAGCCCCCCAGCGACAGGAGTGGGTCATCTGGAGAGGTTAGCAGGGAAGGTTGAGGCCCCATCATTACCCAAGGAGGAAAGTCATAATAACAGGGCAGTGCCCTTCCCAAACCCAAGATTAGCGCACTTGAAGACTTCTTTGCTGGCACTCCTGTCAGGCAGCGAGGCTCAGCCATCCCGTTTACTTGGAATCTTAATTCAGGTAAGAGAGGTACACACCGCCTCTGGCAATCTTCATGAGGCTGGGGCCTTGGCTGCAGGATCCAAGGCAGAGGTGGGGTGGGGGTGAGGGGTGGGGCATTGGCCTGGAGATGGTCTCATACTGAAGGAGATGGGGAGAGAGTTTACTCTGCTCCGTCAGCCTGGGACCAAATTGCTACCATGTTTTCCAATCCAGTGGTAATGACAGCACTGTGCATGCTACAGGAAAAGGTGCTCATTAACTCAGGCAAGGCCAAATCCCCAGATAGCTGCCCATTCCTCTCAGCTTTCCCTATACACAGCTATGTCCTGAAAGAAAAATAGTACAAATGCCTCCTCTCTGCCTCTGTCACAGGCATTGCCTCTGCTCTTTCTGGTCTGGAGGTTCCTTCTGAGAGGATGCTCACCCGTCTCCTTCCTTACCAGACTGTTCCCTGCCACTCTTTTGATGCTCTGCCTTGGTACTGCAGGAACCTACCAACCTTTTCTACTGAGCAAGCATCCTATTTGGGGTCTCCAGGTTTCTGGGGTCCCTGCTTTACTTGGCTTCTGAAGACAGGGGGCCACCTGAGGTCCAATGTGGGAAACGTATATAATTCCATGCAAGCGGAGACCGACTGCTGGCAATCACATCTCTTTGGAATATTACTGTTCCCACACGCAGCATCCACATGGTTACACCCAAGGAAGATGTAAGGGTGTGGGGGCAGGTAGATGCTCCTGGGGTAAGGCCAGCCAAAGGCAGACTTACAGGGAATTTACCCGAGGCCAGGGAAAACCAAACAGTTTAGTCCCTGGACTCTTTGTCCCTCATCCTGTAAGAGCCAAGTGTGGGCAGGTACTAACCTGTGGCACTGGTGCCAAATCCAGCTGTGGCGTCCAGCCTTGGGACGGAAGTCAGCCCTGCCAAGGTTGTAGATCTGTGAGGAGAAGCGCAACAAGCGCCGGTGTCCATAGGGCCAGTCCATGTGGTCAGCAGACTTGGACAGGCAGTTTTCCTCATGGGCACAATACAGCATGCTGAGCGGACGATCCTCCAAGTACGCTGTCTCTTGGACCAGCTGGGCGTTCATCACAAGGTCTGGAGCAGCTGGGGGGCAGGGGCAAGGTGGGAAGCATAGTGAGAAGGCAGTGGAGGCTGCTCTCCAGTGTGAGCACAGGCACCCCGGACTACCGAAGGACACCTGAGTCAGAAGACATGAGTTCTAATCATAAGGAGGGCCGCTCCGTTGTCATGGTTAAGGTGTGCAGCCAGCATTCATTATTGCCTGAGTTTCTGACTTTACCATTTACCATTTAATGTTTTTATGTCTCGTGTTTGTCACCTTCAAGGTGGGAATCATATTGGTGGTATTAGTAGGTGGTATCTGTAATGTGCTTAGGACATTGTCCTGCAGTAAACAGTAAATGGATATGAGCTATCATTTCTTTTGTAAAACGCTTTTTTAAAAAACAAATCTTAGCAAAGTGCTTTTGAGTAGCTTAGTGGATAGAAGCCTTTCAAAGGCTTTACCTAACTTGGATGTTTCAGCTTAGTCCCTGTCTTGCCCTGGGTCTCTTGGGCTGGAGCGAGAGGACCAGATTGGAAAATGAAGGACTTGGTTCTGGAGCCTGCCTGCCCCTCAGGAAGCTGTGCTGTTTAGGCGGCTAAAGTGTGGTTCTGTGCTCCCTCTAGGGGGTCCATTCTAGCCTAACCACTTCCACAGGTGTCCCCATGCAACATATGGCTCAGGTATCCAGAGTATCTCCAGTGCCTCTCTGCACGCAGAATTCCGACCTTAGGTCAGCGAGATGGCTCAGCCAGTAAAAGTGCATGCCGTGCAAGCCCAGCTACCTGAGTTCAATCCTTGTATTCCAAGTGGAAGGAGAGAACTGACTCCCAAAAGTTGCATACGTACACACAAAACAACAACATAATTGTATTTTTTTCAAAAATCCAGTGTGCCTGTGTCTCACTAGTCAGCTTGGCCTCTTTCCTCACCTGCAAGGGGCCGTCTCCTGAAGCCTCTACCATCGCTGTCCTTCAAGTGTTGGTACTGCTATGCAGTGATCCACTGCTGTTGCCATGTACACTCAAGAGAGAAAAGTGGCCTTTCTCATGGGGTTGGGTTGGGGTTTAGGCAGCTGGGCAGAGGCCCCCGGGGGTAAGGCTCAGAGTGGATGGGAACATTGGCTGGTTTCTCTGGCTGGCCGTGGAGTGAGTGCTGTGGAACATGGTGCCTTTTGTGTCACTAAACATGCACTTGAAATCCCTGTGGAAAGCCAGGATATGGCCACTGACAGACCCAAGCTCCTGAAGGAAGGGAGAGCTTTCAGAGGGAGTGGGGATGAAACCAACAAACTTGGGAAGGTGCGGTGGGTGTAGGCTGCTGGTCAGCCCCCTGCCAGCTGTTAGCACCAAATGTGCTCAAAACAACAGCTGCCCTAGAGGTAGTTAAAGTCCAAGGTTGCCAAGCAGGGGGACTGAGAGCAGGTAACCAGCACACTGTGAGGCCTGGGTGTGGAAGGCACCACTGACATCCTGTCTCTTTCAGCAGAGGGTGAGAAGGGCAGGCCCAGGGCTCTCCCAAGAGTGTGCTACACAGAGGGCTCACTGACAGGTTAAGATGTCTTGGGGTTGGAGTGTGGCTGGGAAGAAGGTCAAGTGGCCTCTGGGGTTGGTGCCAGCCTGCAGCCTTTGGACTGGATATAATTATCTTGGCTCCGGCCTTGTTGGTCAATGTCAAACAGATGCTGCAACCCCGAGAATCTAGGTCTGTGGGGCAAACTCTTGCCACAAAATGGTCTTGTCCTCAAGCCTGTTGGGTAAACTCCACAGCTTGGAAGGGAACCCACAGTTTGGCCTTAGACTCTGGTGTGCCTCACATTTGTGTATCCTCTACAGTGTATTTCAAAGTATTTCCTACAGACAGCAATAAATTCATTTTATGTTGTAAGTCCACACACACACAGTTCCTAGAAAAACCATTACCCTTACTAAATGGAATGGACTGTCACGTTTTCTGTTCTGTTTCACTCTTCTAAAACTGTTGTTCACAATCCCCAATAGAAAAGCCCTCTTTTAGCTCCTTGTGCTTTTGTGTTTTCTCAATTTTCATTCTCCCAGAAACTCCATGAGGGAGGTGGGCAGGGAGGCTTTGCATCTGGATATGACAGATGACTCAGCTGCACAGCTGGAGAATGGCGGAGCTGCTGTGGCCACTCCCTGACCCGGTCACCCACTGGTCCCATTACTCACTGCTCATGCAGGCAACTCCAGCTGAGAAGCGCCCGGGGCCGTGGGAGCAGTGCACAGGCCCATGCCTCTGACACTGCTGAAGAGCCAGCTCTGTGCCGGAGCAGCGAACCCCGCTCATCACCACCTCTTTGGCTTCTGGTGTCCCCTGCCAGTACCAGGTGTCCTAGGGAGACAGCCAGCATGGTCGCATCAGAGCAGAGAGGTACTGCAATGCAAGTCATTACAGTGCCTCCATCGCACCAACCCCACCAGGCAGTCCAGCGCAGGCCTTACAATCTTTCCTGATGAGAGCTCTACCTCATGGACAATCCCTATCACATTTGCACCCCTCTGGTACAAGTTTATGCCACTGGGGGGATTCCCTGCTGCCTGTGGCACTGTCCCATCCAGCTCCAAGAAAGCAGTTCTGATGCCTGAGTAGGACAAGCCTGCTCTCTCATTCCTCCATCAGGTAGGGTGTCCCCATTCCCAACTGCTCCTCACACCCCAACCAGGGCAGAGCCCAGGCCTCTGAGTGAAGTCTGCCACGGCATTGCCCCGCAGGCCTGTTGGCTATAGTGATTTTGTCCCTGCGTGCTTTACCCTTGAACTTCGCAGCCCTCTCCCCAGAGAGCATACTGCAAGCCCAGCCCCTTGTTTCCTCAACTGAGTGACCCTTCCGTTGGCTGTTGGTTCTTCTCCCCTCTGTTTTATCTGGTTAACTTCACGTCGTGGATTCCCACAAGTGAAGATTTATAGTAGGCCATCTGAGTGGCCACCTCAGCTGCGCTCTGGTCTGTCACACCATCCCCAGTATCCAGTTTGTGGCAACCCATAGCTTCACTAGGTGAGCAACTGCTGAATAAGGAAACGAATGAATGGCATTTTTGTCCTGCCAGCCCAGGAGGCCTAGGCTGCACACAAGGAGCCAGACTGGGACCTACCTTGATAGCAAAGTTGGCATATCCCAGACCAAGCTGTCGACAGGTGACCATGGCTTCCATGAGCCCCCAGTGGTCACTGCATACTGTCCCCCAGCGGGAGACTCCATTCACCTCTACCTGCACCTCCACCACTCCCTCTTCGGGGTTGCGCCCACCAGCCAAGCGCACCTGTAATGGAGGTGTGTAAGGGGGGAGCCAGGATTGGGAGGCCTACACCAGCCGCCACCACCACCCATCTCCTATGACATGAGCTTAGTTCTTCAGTGTGTGCTGTCCCCAGATGCTAGAGAACCCTGAGCTCAAGTGCCTGTGGCGGGGGTTTCTGCTCCTCCCCCCACCTTGCCTTCCTCCTTCCTACCCGTCATCTCCCACCATTACTGATGACTCAGTTTGCCAAGGGCTTTGGCATCTGCCACCTCATTAGAGATTTAGCACCATTTTTCCAAGACACCAGCAATTTACCCACAGTCCCCAGTGCCACTCCCCAGTCCTGGCTTGATGCACCTCAGGACCTGGGAGTGTGAACCAGTGTGTATACCAGTAAAGCCCCATGTCCCTCTGCCATCTGTGGGACTAGATGTGGGGCCAAGTGACAGAAGAGGGGTCTTCAGGCCAGACCCAAGGGCACTTGGACCACCATGGCAGAAGTGCAAGCTGTTCTTCTCAACCCCTCTCCCTGGCTCCAGGCTGTCCCCCACCCCCCGGGGGGGGGGGGGAACACTCCCAGACCCTGCCTGAGGATACACTCAGACCTAAACCCACCTGCTTTTGGAAGCCCATGTCAGGGATGTTGCATCTCACAGCAGCGTCATTTGCATGTTGACAACCATTCTGAGACCCTTCCAGGGCAAGGCAGTCACTGAGGGTCCGCTCGTACCCCCTGCAGCGGACCTCACTCAGGTGGATAGGTCCTAACCCTGCGGGGAAGGGTGTGCTGCTGAGGCGCCTCTGTGAGCCACACCCGTGGCCTGCCCTCCCTAGGTCGCCAGGAGCGCCAGCAGCACATCGGGACCTTTCTGTACACCCACACCTCCTTGCTCACCTTGGCCCAGCTGGGCCCCAAAAAGAGCCTCCCGGGCAGAGCCAAAGCCAAGCTGACGACACACGACGCTGGCTGAGATGAGGTTCCACCTGTGGTCACAGACTGTGCCCCACTGGCGGTTCCTAAGCACTTCCACACGGCCCTCACCCACCTGAGCCCCAGAGCGCAGGCGCACCTTCAGCTCCTGCTAAAGAGGAGAAAGTCAGCTTCAGGAAGGGCAGTCAGGGGCACTGAGACACCAGGGTAGACCTTGGGGTGGAACTCCCCCAAGTTTCAAGGCCAGAGCCAAGGCCCAGTTCCTAATTCCTAATCCTGCCTTTGACTTCCAACAATTACCCTTTTCGCAACCTTTGCTTCTTCCGGGATGTGGGGCGGGGGGCTTTTTATTTTATTTTTTTATCTTTTCGAGACAGGGTATCTCTATGTGGCTTTGGTTGTCCTTGAGCTCGCAAAGATCCACCTGCCTCTGCCTCCTGAGTGCACCACCACTGCCTGGCTCTCCCCTACTTTTTTTTAACATAACATAAGGCTAGGCTCGGGTTCAATGCCTTCACCCTCAATGGGCTGCAGCTACAATTTAATTACTGTTTCCACAGTTGCCTTCTATCCATGGCAAGTGATGCCAACTTTTCATCTATGGTGGGATGATAAATGACCTCTAAAAAAAAAAATCCCAAGATTCTTTTATTCTGTGAACCCAGCACCTTCTGCCAGTATGGTTCCTCTGCCCTCTACCCACTGGGCAGGGCACTGCTCGTTAGGACCCCCACCTTCAGATTGGTCAAGAGTACCCTGGGACCCACCTCTGTACGGGACTCCTTGCGCCTGGACTTTGGCTTCTGTGGGTGAAAGTGGGGCCCTGCCACACAGCTGACCACAGCATGCATGCCACCTGGACAGGCTGGCCGAAGCTTGCCCCTTCCTGGAGCCACCTGTACCTGGCACTTGGCCAAATGGGGCTCTGTTCCCAGACAGTCAACCCGATGAATCCAGAAGGAATTCTTTTTTGTCAGACTGTTCAGCCTGGAAGACAAGGATATTTGGGTGGAGGGCTTGACTGGGGATGGAGGAGCTCAGGGGAAAAGGGGGGAGGGAGAAAAGGGGGAAGGGCCGGGAGGAGGGAAAGCATTTCGTGCCACACCCCTGTGTCTGCCCTCTAAAATGCCACTCCTCACCTAGACTTGGGATCCTTCATCTTCAGACTCCAGACTTTTCTGTGGTAGAGAAAACAGAAAGGGTGGAGGGGTGCAAGAATCCCCCCTCCTTGATTCCTCCATTCTGAAGTTTATAGCAGATTGCATAGCTCATAGACTTTCCCCGCGTCTTCTCCTCCCCAGTCCCCCCTCCCCCTTTTCCTTTCCTCTCCATTTGTCCCCCTAAAGCTTCCACAGTGGTGGGGTTGCCATGGAACAAGCAACTCGTTCTTGCCGCTCCCAGTCCAGATGAAGGGATCCTTTAGGAAGTCCCTGTGAGAAGAGACCCGGGAAAGGTCCCCTGGGAACAGTGGCAGTTGAAAGACTTGTTGGGGATTGGGACAGGGACTGACACCCAGGCTGTAACCAGAGCTGCTGGAGGGCCTGATTTGCAGTTACTGGATGGTGGGGAACCAGGGACCCATGTCCCCATCGTCCCCAAGGATAGAGTCATGGCTGCTCTCCAGCTCCTCTAAGCCAGAAGCGAGGGACTTGCAACTGTCTAGATGATGTGTGGTAACCCAACAGGGGTGGGGCAGGGTAGATGACGTAGAGGCCTGCCTGCAGATCCTCTGTCTTGAGAAATGCTTGAGGGTGTCACTGACACAGCTGGTGGAACTGGGGTAGTGGGGTTATTTATGGACTTGATGCAATCTTCTGTGACGGTTTGGCCACATTTCTGACAGAGTATTTTTATGTCTCCTTTATGTAAACTCCCCACCCCAGGCTTGCTTGCATGCAACCCAATTACAGTCTGGCTTGAATCAGAGCAGGAGTTCCCTGGACAGCACAGAGTCCCATCACAGGATGGTTGAGGGCCATATGTACCCCAACCAGAGCTAGTTCTGGTGGAGTCAAGACCAGGATGCATTGTCTACGCTTGTGGACAACACTGTAAGGACCTTTAGTTAAATCCTTCTAACAAGGGACACAATTTTTCCATTTCATTGCTTTTGTTGTGTACCACAGTCAGGTCTTTCTATCGGGTTGGCCAGCATGAAGTTTACTTTCTGACCACTTCTAGATGACTCTCGGGACCTTGAGGTTCCTTGCTTACTCTTAGCTATCTTAAGGGGCCCATAACTCAGCAGTCCAGGAGATGTCCCCAGTTGGGTCTGTACTCCAGCGTGTGAGGATTGCACTACCACAGACATCCACCCCATCAATGTGTCCCTCCAGAGTCTCACTGAACCCTTCAAGGTTCACACCACACACACACCAACACACAGGTCCAGCTTGGCAATCCTGCCCCTCCTACCTGTAGTAGTGGCTGTTGACAGGTACCTGGCTGGGAAAACCCAGCATCCCGCATACAACCCTGCTGTTGTTCATGGTCCAGCCCTGGTCACACACCTGCCTCCAGTGGCCCTCGTACCGTACCTCCACGGCCCCCTCAGTCACTGGGCTGTGCCTTTTGGCACTGGCGAGGATGGGTTTGAGCCGTACCTCTTCCAGCCGCCGGCCCTGCAAGGCATAGAGTCACTTCACCATTGGCCATGTCCCTGGGGTCCTGGGCCTCCTGTAGGTCATTGTAGAACTTCCTGAGAAATCCAGGCTTGGAGCCATCTTCCTGCCCCTCATTGTCAGGCCCAGGGAGTATGGGAGGCAAATGATAAAGGCTACAGGGGAGTTGGAGCTAAAGTCTTGGTTTATCTAGACTCTTTCCCTCCTCTTCTCAGATCTATCAAACTGAGGTCAGAATAGGAGCCCTTGGAGGATGGGGGTATTTGTTGGGCATGGAGGGGTCTTCTTTGTGTCACCCAGAAAAGAGTTGATATGGGCAAGAACAGTTGCTTGAGACCAACCCCTGATGTCCATGGACCCACCACCCTATCCCCGAGTGACTTAAACTAATGTGGAAACCCCCATGGTGGCCCAGTACAGATCCAGTGTGCTAGGGCCAGCTGTCCTCAGGCAGAAAGGCTGCAGGGCAGCAGAGGGTGGGAGCCGGCTCCCTGCCCTGCCCATTACTGTTGTTTGGCTTGAGCTGTTTTTAGCTTGGGGTTGTTTGTGCTGGGAAGAGGCAGCAATTGTGGCCAAGCCTTGTGGGTGAAGCAGCCCCCTTGCCCCATGTCCACCTCCTTCATGGGAAACAGCTTCTGAGGTTCCCACCAGGCCTAGCAACTGATTCCTTGGCTGGTTCTACATTAAGCTGGTGTCAGGATTGCTGCTGCTCAGCCCGAGCACTACTCATTTCTTCTCCTTCCTTCAGGCTCACCCTTCAGGAGGCTCTCTGCCTGTCCAGTCCTCAGCTCAGAACAGGATCTGAATAGCCTCCTCACCTGGGGCCCAAGGGCATTGGAGACCTTCTCAGAGTGGTAGCCACGATGGCGCTGTGGGTGGCACACCACCCCAACATCTTCTGAGTGTCTGCAGTCACTGACACCCCACCCGTTAGATCCACACTGGTCCAGGGTTTCCTCGGTGCCCAAACAACGCACATTGTCCAGCCAGATGGGCCCTGTGGGGGAGGGAAGATGAGCTCAAGAATGAGAGAGAGAGAGAGCCTACACTATCAATCACTGAGGAGCAAAGGAGAAGGGAGTTGGTTCTCGTGTGTGTGTGTGTGTGTGTGTGTGTGTGTGTGTGTGTGTGTGTGTGTGTGTGTGTGTGTCGGGGTCTTAGAATCCATACCCCTGCCCAATTCTTCCTCTTGGAGCCAGGCCACAGAAACTGTTTCTGGATAATGGCGGGTAGATCTAGTGATCAGACCCACCTGTCCATCTTTCTACCCTTCTGTCAGTCACTTTCTCAGTAGCCACTATGTGCAGATCACTGTGCTCAGAGAAGTTAGAATTAGTGATGGTGATGCTGGTGATCTTGTTCCAAGAGAGAATGGGAAGGCCACAGCAGAGGTCATCTGCAGCTATACTCAGAAAAGGTCATCAGAGACCATCTGAAGTGGTCATGAAAGGTTGGGTGGGCTTCTAGAAAGTTCTGTTAGAGTCCCAGGGAGTCTAGCCCTAAGAGAAAGAAGCTGGTGCCCATCTCTTTGCATCCTTTGGGGCAGTGTGTCACGGTCACTCACCCTCCCCTTGACCATACTTGGCACTGTGTGCCCAGGTCAAGGCTGACTCAAAGCCCAGTTGTCGGCAGGCCACAGTAGCCTCCTGGAGAGCAAAGTCATCATCACACACAGTGCCCCACTGGCCCTGGTGCAGCACCTCCAGGCGGCCCTCCTCTGGCCTGTTTGCTGGACCCACCAGCCGGAGCTTCTTGGAACCTGATGACTGTGGCCTGCTGGAAGGGGCTTGGCCCAGCAGCAACAGCAGGAACAGATAGCAGGTGGCTGGTGGGAGCCACGTCATGGTGACTTCAGGGGCACCTGGGGAAAGAACGGATAATGATTATCACCTCCACCCAACTTGTCTCCTCAATGTGAAGGCAGGAAGAGGAGGGGGGCCTGCTCACCCAATGCTGTCCCTGGAGCCTCCAGGAGTACCCTCGGGTCAGAAACACCTACCTGGTGGTAACATGCTTGCCTGCCATCTGATATGCCCAGCACCCCTAGTCAAGGGCAAAGTGCTACTTCCCAACCCACAAAAAGGCATATGGAATACTGGGGTGGGAAGGAATATTCAGGGGAATCTGGTGTCTTCCACTACAGCTGTGGGACCTGACCACATCTCTTAAATTCCAGGTCCCAGTTCCATACTTCCAAGGAGGTTGAGCCAAAAGCCATCTGCTATCTCCTCTGGCTTGGGTGACCTGTCCCTTCAGCCGTAGCCCAGGCCCGCACTGCTGTATGACCCATGCCGCTGTATGGCTCATACATTGGTTACACTTTTGGGAAGGACTTTGTGTTGGTCCACTTGTTTAGCCAGGTACAGGGACGTGGAAATGAAGACACTGAACACTCTTCACCTTCACTACACAGAGAAGGGGAGTTGGAGAGGGCTTTTAAAGAAGAGATGTGTAAGCTGGGCATGGTGGTGGCTCCCACCTATAATCGCAGTACTTGGGAGATAGAGGCAGGAAGATCAAGTGTTCAAGATCAGCCTCCATTACATGATGAGTTCAAGACCAGCCTGGGCCACATGAGACCCTCTCTCAAAAACCAACTAACCAAATGAAAAAAGAAACAAGGAAAAAAAAAAAGATGGGACCACTTAGCCTGGGTCTTGTTGGATGTATGAGAGTTCTCCCAGGCTGGAGAGGGGACAGGCCAGCTAGAAAGGACGGGGTGGACCAAAGAAGGAAGAGGGGAAGAAATTATGCAAGGGCAGAGCAGGAGGTACCCATCTCCCAACCCTGCTTAAGATCTGAAAGGGAGTGAGGAGAGGCAGGCAGGCCCTAGGTGATCAAGGGTCCTGTGCACCTTACAGAACATATTCCCTTCATCTTGTCAGAAATGAGGAACTGTGGAAGGGTCCAGGCAGGAACACATACATTAGAGGGAGAGCCATGCTGAAACTCTTAGCATTTTAGCAGCCTAGTCCTGGGACTTGGAGGGCAGGGCACAGAGATGAACCATGTCTGAATGGAGCTACTAGAGCCTTCTGAAGCCCCTGCTGCTGATTTTCCACCACCCTGGCTCTGGAGGTCACTATAGGATCGGATGGAGAAGATCAACCCTCTGCCAATGCTTGTGTCTTCTGAGTGCTAAACACACACACACACACACAGAGGGGGGAGGTCTTACTGTATAGCTAGAGCTGGCCTTGAGTTTGGGACCCACCTGTCTCTGCCTCCCAACTCCTGGGATTACAGAGGTGCCAGGACAGCTTGCCTCCTGGGGATTAGCAGTTAGGCCAGGTGTTAAGACATTAAACACTACTCCTTACCCTGGCCACGGACAGAGAAGGTGAACAGGGAAAGCAATAAGGCAGGATAGGTCAGCCAGAGTTAGGAACATCAGCCTGTAATCTCAGCACTTGGGAGCTGCAGACAGGATAATCAAGGGTTGAAGGTCAGCCTTAGCTGCCTGGCAACCCTGCTCATGGGGGAGCTCATCAGCCCAGGAGAGAAGGTCTCAGGCCCTGCCACTCCCCAAGCCTGGAATCCAGCTAAGAGTCACTCCTTATTCCTCCAGGACGCAGCACTGCCCCCAACCCCATGGCCTTGATCAGTGCAAGGCTGGATGGTAGGGAATAGAAATACAGCAGATGGCCTTGAGAAGTGAGGCTCCATGGCAGCGACTTCCTGTTGTATCTCCAGTGCCCAGAATGGTGCCAGATGTGAAGGTGGCACTCCATCTATGGGTTGCCTGCTGGGAGGTGCCATGGCATGGGGAGTCAGACTGCCTAGGTTCAAATTACACCTCCCCACCAGTCTAGGTAATGTGAGGCAAGTTTGTACCTCAGTGTCTTCCCTCTGTAAAATGGGGGTGACAACAACATCTATACCTACTGGATCAATAAAACTGTTCACTGGGTAGGCACATGCCAGTCCCTTAGAAGAGTAGCCTGCAACAGTGAACCATCAACACCACTACAACAGCTCAATAGAAACACTGGTCTCCACTGTCCAACTGTGGGTTTCTAGACTCACCCCTGTCTCTTCCACCTACACTATGAAGTCAGAATCCTCCTGCCCCATCTGCCGCACTGAGGCTGGGACCCTGCCATCCTCCACTGGCCCTGCCATGCTTTCTTCCAAATGGTAACACTAGGCTGGTGTCACTCCAACTCAGGGGCTCTGGGGGCTCCTAGATGATTGTCACCAGAATGCTCTCTGCTGCTTCCCCATGTCCCCTTCCTTTCCTTGTGCTCCTCTGAGGGGGTGGGCATCAGGGTTTGAGCCACACCAAAATCACCCCAGACAGAGCATTCCCTCATCAAGTGACAAGAGGGGGTGGGAAGCACTAGATTTGCAGCCTGAGGTTGCAGTCTGAGTTGAGGGTTGACTCTACACTGCTCCAGATAGGAGGCAGGAAACTCCCAGCTACCACCAACGATCCTGTCAAGAGCCTAGGTTTCTCAATTTACACACCTGTAAAAGGAGAAGTGGTCCTACGGAGTAACATGCAGTTGGGGTCTCTGATGGGCTGGGCTGTTCTCTTAGGGGCTTGTGGCTAAGGTCCACACAGCCTGGAGGAGATCTCCTCAAAAGGCACCAGACAGGGATCTTCTGCTCCAAGATCTTGGCTCTAAGCCAGAGCAATGCCCTTCCTTTCAAGCTACCAGAAGACAGTCCCTGGGAGAGGTCCCTTCCACACTTCCCACCCACTCCTGGATCCGTAACTGTAACCCACACCAAACTCATCCCATCATTCCCGAAACAGCCCTCATCTCTCAAGCTTTTGCTCCTGTTGCTCAATCCACTCAGACTGTTAAACTCCTACACACACTTCAACACCGAGTCCAAATGCTACTCCCTCGAGTAAGGCCCCCAGTATCCTACCTTCCTATTCGTTTCCACAGAACTGAGTGCTGGAGTGGGGCTGGGCTGAGAACTGGCCCTTGGAGAAGGAAGCAGTCCCTTTTCTCAAGGAAGAATGGAATAGGTTGTGGGGGGAGGGGGGGGGGGGTGGGGATCCACTGTGTCTTGACACAGTGGCACATGCCAATAAGAATGCCCATTAGAAACATGTCTGAGGAGGTCTCTCCAGTTCACAGATGGAAAGGGCAGACACAGAGAAATGAAATAGCTAGACTGGCCGGGATTCAAACAGGCCACCTGGCTCCAGGCTGGGCTCTCAAAACCGCAGAAGGAGGGATGCTGGAAGGGGGAGGGGAGAAAAGGTGAACGGAGCTCCACCTTGTTATGACTCAGGCTGAAGTGTGAGGGCTGAGCAGCTGTGCCAGTAGACAGGACTGGAAAAGGGTGATTCCCCAAAAGATTACAAGAACGTGGGGAGACTGTCCTGGGGCCCCAGCTGTGGGTCCCTCCTAGTCCTTTCTCTGTAGCTCTCTGGGCCCTGCACGCTCATGGCGGCATTGCAGAACCTGAAGATGGGCCCCCCACCTGTATAGGGCTGGGAAAGGTGGGGTTTGACACCCTCTGCCTCCGTTCCCTCTTTCACCTCATCTCCAGCAGTCACTTCTGGGTGGGCAATTGGAGCCCAGCTTTGCCCTGGTGCTTAGTACCCTAAGTCACAGGAGTGGCATCTGGTCCTATTTCACCCCGTCCCTAGCATTCCTTCCGGCCAGGGCGCACCACCCGTGCAGTCTTGGACCAACTCCCCCAACTTGGGCACTTGTCCAGTGGGGAAGTAGGTTGTGACCCGCGGGGGCTAGGCCGAAGTGTCCATGGGGTCCCCCATCCCTCGTAGCCCCTTGGAGCCCTCAGAGGCCTGCCCACCCGCGAGAGACAGAAGGACAGACAGCAAGAGGCAAGCCGGAGGAATCGCGTCAAGCTGGAGCTCACCGGCTGGATCCAGAGGTTGGGGCTGGGGCGGCGCC